AGTTTATTCTTTTCTCCCACCCCACTCTACCCTGCAAGAACCCAGCCCAAAAGGCTTTCTTTCCCACACTTCATTTGAGAAAGTTTGCTTTATAAAGTTGTCTAGGTAAGTAAACTACCAAAACATGCTCTTCAATTTTTGCAGTGAAAATGCTTAGCTAGATTCTTTGCATTTATAGTGGCTTCTGTGTGCCTTTCTGAGATTAGAAAACTGCTAGAATATATTTTGAAAACAACAGTTGGGATGATTTATCCGTCACCATCTAGAGGAGGAGTAGCCAACATGGCAACTTGCAGATGCTCATCAGCCCTGAGTGCTCACTGGAAGGACAGATCGTGAAGCTGAGGCTCCAATACTTTGGCCACCTCATGAGAAGAGAAGACTCCCTGGAAAAGACCCTGATGTTGGGAAAGATGGAGGGCACAAGGAGAAGGGGACGACCTAGGACGAGATGGTTGGACAGTGTTCTCGAAGCTACCAGCATGAGTCTGACCAAACTGCGGGAGGCAGTGGAAGACAGGAGTGCCTGGCGTGCTTTGGTCCATGGGGTAACAAAGAGTCGGACACGACTAAACAACTAAACCACAACAACAACAACAGATGCTCATGGAGTTCAAATGTCATAAGCCCCAACCAGCATAGGCATTGGTCAAGGATGATGGGAGCTGTGGTCCAAACACATCAGGAAAGCACATAGTTGACTATCTTCAATTAGAGTAATTCAGGTTTCCTAGTAAAGTAGTATAAGTGGACCTGGAACAAATTGTTGCATTGCCTCTTTCAACAGCAGTGCTCCTGTTCAGGGACTACCTTTCTCCAAAATACTCCTCCCCACCTCCTCATCCAGTTTCCTGATTATCTGATTATGAAACTCATTATCCCTTGGCTTGTGAGCATGCTCAGTTCTCTTTGGGCTATGTTATTTAAGGAGTTGCTCAATTAAGTTTTTTCTTTTGTACTTCTGCAAACATTTTGGATTCTTCTGCCCATGCTGACAACTCACTCCTGTTTCTCAGGGGTCCTGTTTTTAGCTCTCATCATCAACACATGAGTCTGCTCTTAGAGGGAGGAGGGAGTGGTAGCCAGAGACAGTCCATGACCGTTAACAAGATTTATTGTCTTTAATTTCCTCCATCTTTCTTTCATCCGCTTGGCCGTGAGTCCTGGAAGACCTTGCAGGCCTTTTCCACCTGGCCTGGGAGGGCAGGGCCCTGATGGACTCCAGCTACAAAAGCTGAGGCTGCTGAACAGAATCTAGGGCTGGGGTATGATTTAGGGGTTTTTGTTTGGGCAACAGAGGGGCAGGGTTGTTGCTGTTATTTTTTTGCATCTTATGATTTACGTGGAAATTGTTCAGTTTGGTTGTGTACTTTTGGATGGTTTGTTTATTGTTTATGACTACTTTTGCTATGTTTGTAGTTATGTATTTTCATTTATACGTTGTAAGCCGCCTTGAGCATGGTTTTAACTTTGGAAAGGCAGTGTACAAATAAAATGATAGATTGATAGATTGATCATGGAATCCGAGGCATCATACTTGTCAACCATCCAGGTACCGGTCAGACCCAGACCTGCTTTGCTGCAGCAACATGGTGGTCTCATATGCCTTCAGACCATTTTCTTGGACAATACCCTAAGAAGAAACCCCAGGCCTAGCACAGGACATGGTTTGCTGAAGCTTTCTTTGAACAGTCTTTCTCATATGTTTGCGTAATGACATCATGACTGCATTCATCTAATCTGCTGGGGAGCAAATCTAAGGCTGGTTTGTCTCAGTGTCAGGTAGAAAACTGGATGTGGGCACAGCAAAGCCAGCCAAGTAGCCTCTGGATCTGTCTCACTACTGACAATGGGCTCAATGTGATCCTTTGCTGTGCTAAACCCAGAGCTAGTGTAGCAAAAATACAGAATTTCCTTGCCCCTCTGCTTTCCACCCTGGCCAAGGTGAATGGTGGACCTTGCTAGCCCCCAATGACTTGGATTTCATGTACACGTGAGAGGGCTCTCTCAGCAGGGAAGCCCCACTTGCTGAATGCCGTTCTCAAAGAGCTTTGCATGGCACCCACAAAACTAACCTTTAGGCATGAGGCAAAAACATTCTTGTTGAGCCAGGTATTTAAACAGATTTTAATCTGAGAAAATCTCTGTCTTGTTTTAAGGTTTTATCTGCCGTCTTTCAACAATGATCTTGTGTTTTATTGTATTGATCCCTCCCCATCCCTAAATTTTAAACTGCCTTGAATTCTGTTAAGATGAGAGTGACTAACCTCTGTGGCCCTCTAGATGTTGTTGGAATCCAACATCAGCCCCAGCCAGCATGGTCAATAAATAGTCAGGGCTGATGGGAGCTGTAATTCAACTACATACGGAGGGCTACAGGTCAGCCATCCCTGAGCAAAACCTTTTCACAGTGAAACAGGCTTCTCGCAGACAACACACTGAGCTCACCACAGAGTTCTGGTCTCAAACTGAACCCTCCCGCCTTCTCTTCCTTGTTTTCTTTCCTCAGAATGATGCATCACATAGATGGTATGGTTTCCTGTTGACCAGCTGCTCTGCATTTGTTGACTTGCCTGCAGGAGACCCGTGGAATAAGGGGCGCAATGGAAACAAAACACAAACACATACAAGCTCCCTTTTATCTTTTCATTTCCTCCTTTTAAACGTTTTCTTTATTTTCATCTTTCTCAGATAGTCTCACCAACATTGCAGCATTATACTAGACAGAAGAAATCAACTGCAGATGAAATCATAGCTACCTAACTAAGTGGTATGTAGAGAGGCATGTGCACAACAATACAGTGAACATTATTTCTGTATCCTTTCTATTGCAGGGGTCCAAGTCACTCTATCTGGCCTGCAGGACTCTCCCCACCACCACACAATTTCCCCATATGCCGTGCCCTTAACTGGGCCTGCTTTGCGCCCTCCTTGAGTGCTTTTGCTTGGCAATCCATTAGATCCGATATCTTTGAATCGGCTGGGTTTGGTCCTGCCTGACATTTTTCTTATGAATTCATGTTAGGCCTGTTGTCCTGATTGAGAAGACTACATATATTTGATTGTGATCCACATGCTCCATTCATGGATTTCAGAGAGTGTTCTTTATAATAATAATTGAAATGGATATTGAAATACTTTATTGTCACTTGTACAACTTGTATACAGTGAGATTACACGAGCATCCCCCACTCAGCTCTCTTAGTCTTAATTCCCCTCGTTTACTGACATACACCCACCAAACCCGAAAGTCAGTTGCCCTGTTGTTATCTTTTCATTCAGCAGCCTAGCAGCCCGTGGATAGAAGCTGTTTTTTACCCTGTTGGTGCAACTAATCATGCTTCTATATCTTCTGCCTGAGGGCAGGTGATCAAGAAAGTGCCGGCCAGGGTGTGAATCATCCCTGAGAATTTTCCTCACTCTCCTGAGGCAACGTTCTTCCGCTATTTCACCCAGCGGATTCATGGGACAGCCCATAATATCTTGTGCGGTGTTCACCACCCTCTTTAGGCACTTCCTATCAGTTGATGTCAAACCAGTGTACCACACCGTGATGCAGTATGAAACGACACTTTCTATTGTTGACCGATAGAAGGAGATTATCAAATGTTGATTGACATTGTTCTTCCGCAATACTCTGAGAAGATGGAGTCTCTGTTGGGCTTTCTTAACTTATATTTCTGAGTTCCCTGAAGCATCCCCATTCTATGAGTTGCATGGGTTGTATCCCAATCAGAGATAGGCAAATTTGTTGATTTCAGTTTCCATCAGTTTCTTCTTCTTCCAATCTTAAGTTTAATTCTCTACATTTCCACATCAGTTTGTGGGCAGTTTTATTAATAATGTTATGTGTGCATCTGCATGTGTCTTTGTTTTCATAGTTAACCAATTGTGTAGCTCACTTGATGATGCAATATTCCCAAAGCATCTATAATGTCATTTTCTGATACAGTTTTCTGGCATTGTAACTATTTATAATCCGTTTTCCTATCTCACCCCTACTCCTAGTTCTCATTTTCCCATTCTGGGATATTCTGATATCTTAATGCTGACTTATCCAAAGGAAGATGAGCAGGGTTAAGATGAGCAGCTTTGTGTGCTAACTTTGCTTTGACAAAATGATATGTTACTGAAGCATGCTAGCAAGTTTTGTGTTGATCAGATATCTTATAATGGATTATTCAGTAATTTGAATCACATGAACCCCATTGCTTTAACATGTTTACTGAATGAAATACTATAAATTCACTGACCACACCTATAAATTGGACTGATGGACACTCTCTGAATATAATTGCATGCCACATTCCCTTATTCTCCAGATACCAGATCTATCAATATCTTATGTATTTCAATATTTGTTCTTTTTCGCATTTCCCCCTTAATATTACATCTTTTAAACATTAATTTAGCACTGGATGGAAAAGGGGTGGGGGTTTGTTTGATGGTTCTACTCTGCTTGCTATTATTAAGTGTCTCCTAAGTCCTATTCTGTTTATGATCACACCCCTAGGATTTTCTTTGAACACATTGCCTCTGGTGACAGACATTATCATACTCCTCTGTGATACAGAAATAACTGAAGAATTGTAAACTCCCTGAGCACTTTGCATAGATGTAAAGAGGCATCTATTGATCAGCTCAGGGGCAGGTCTACATGACCCTTCCCCATCATCTATTTATTTTTCTTTACATTAGAAAATTGATATACCACTTGATTGACAACAGCTAAGCATTGAACATTAAACATTGAAACTCAGATCTCTGAAGCCCACTCCAAAGTAACTTGGAGCACAGTACAATCTAGTATGGCCATTCCTGTTCTGTGAAACAGCAGTCCTGTTGAGATACGGCAGGCATCCACTATCTACACTTTCCAGACACAACTGAAGACATTTTTGTTCTGACAAGCTATCACAACAAAATGAATAGGTCTCTGCCTTCTTCTTCTTCTTCTTCTTCTTCTTCTTCTTCTTCTTCTTCTTCTTCTTCAGCTTTCCTCACACACATCCCAAGGCAATGTACAAAATGCAGTAAAAACAGCCAAAAAAACAGCTAAACACAACACAAAAAACAGAAGCAAAAATAAAATAAAAAACAATACAAAGTACACCCAACAAGATGAATAGGTCTCTGCCTTGGGTGTATTTTGTATTGTTTTTAAATATTTTTGGCTTCTGTTTTTTGTGTTGCGTTTAGCTGTTTTTTGGCTTTTTTCCCTGCATTTTGTACATTGCCTTGGGATGTGTGTGGAAAGCTAAACAACAACAGCATATTAATTAAAATATAGCAAACATTAAAAAATAATTAACATAAAAATTATCAAAATATAAATAAAAGATTAAAATAAAGTTTTAAAATAATTATATTTTATTTTGCATTTAGTTTGTTTTTACTCTTATGTATTGCAAACTACCCAGAGAACAGGGTGCAGCACACAAATGTCATAAAACAAACAAATTGAACTAGTGCCCTTTTTTGTGAAATTCCCAGAAGCATCTCATTGGCGATTGTGGAATGCAAGTTTCTGGAGAAGATGCCTATTTTGTCTTTTCCGTGCAACTCTTCTTATGTTCACATGACTTCTGTATCATGACTTCTGCATGTCAACGTTACTTCATTTGTTTCATTAAAGTTGTGGCTTATATTTCTGGTCCATCGTTTGTTATTTACCTGTAGCCTTTGTTACCAGGTTTATTGTAAATAGCTGATTCACCTTTAAAATTTGGATGGATGTGCACTGGGTCCTTTAAATGCTTCCATTAGTGTAGTTGCCAGACTGATCATGCATTTAATAGATTCTAGCTTCTATGGCACTTCAAACAAACAAACCCAGGAGAATAATAAGAATCTGGGGAAAACATCAAAGTTTTCCTTTTAAAAAGCTGAACTGATTAACTGCTGTCTATTTTTATAATCATCAAAGATGCAAAACCATCTCAAAAGTATGAACTAGTGAAACCTGAGAACTGTAGCACAGTAAAGCTCAATTAATATACTGGGAATGACAGCTATTGAATATGAATGAGGCACACTTAAAACCTTGGGTACAAAGGAAAGGAGATTCAGTGTGAAGCTTGACGGGTTAGCCTTGATTTTATTAACAGCTGTACAAATGGGAGGAGAATAACTTATTTATGTGTAACATCCTTACTCTGGGGTATCTTGATGTTCCTTCCTCATTAATTTGAAGCAGAAATGTTCAACAACATTAAGTTGTTGTGTGACCATGCTTAGATACTTGTGCAAATGCTTCACCATTGTGAACACTTCTATTTGAAATCTGGGTCTCACCGGAGAGGTTTGTTAACCATCATTTCAAACAAAAATGTTGAATGGAGACAAGAAGGTGCTTCCAAAGTGGTGTCATGCTTGACAATAAAGTGTTTTCTATCTCTTTCTTAGTTTACCTGAGTATATTTAGATAATAGGAATCTGTTCAACTACAGATGGGTAGGGTATAAATAATAACATTGTGATTATGATTGTCTGCTTCCAGTTCTGGATGCCCCAATTTAAGAAGGATATTGACAAGCTGGAATGTGTATAGAGGAGGGCAACCAAGGATCTGGAAACCAAGCCTTATGAGGAACGGTTGAGGGAGTTGGGTATGTTTATCCTGGGAAAGAGGAGGCTGAGAGGAGATTTGATAGCCATCTTCAAATATCTAAAGGGCTGTCACATGGAGGATGGAGCAAGCTTGTTTTCTCCTGCTCCAGAGGGTAAGACCTGTACCAATGGCTTCAAGCTGCAAGAAAGGAGATTCCAACTAAACATCAGGAAGAACCTTCTGACGGCAAAAGCTGTTTGACAGTGGAAGAGACTCCCTCAGGAGGTTGTGGACTGTCCTTCCTTGGAAGTTTTTTAGCAGATGTTGGATGCTTTAGTTGAGATCCCTGTATCACAGGGACTAGATGACCCCAGGATCCCTTCCAACTCTATATTTTTATGATTCTTTGATTGCTCACATACCTTGGAATATGGAAGGTATGCTGAACCTGTACCCCTATTAGCCTGAATAAAAATATCTTCTTCGCTCTTGAATAAGAGCTGCTGTTGTGAGTTTGGGGCATGGGAACCTGACAGCCTCTTTCTAGGGCTGCTTTAATTTTCAGTTGCTATATACGCCAAGAGTAACCGTTTAAAATGTAATATCTATTTCCTTCTTGAGCAGCATTGTTGGAATTCTGTTTTTTAAATCTGTACAAGATCATTTGAATTCTCTGAGTAGAGCTGCGTGCATCTTAGCAAGAACGAAAAATAAGTTTGGAAAGTGCAATGAAGTTAATTAAGCAAAATAGGCAATTTACGCCAATCTAGTAGACAAAGCGATGTTCAAATATCCTGGGTGTTAGAAAATTTTATCCCAGAGGAAATCAAATATGACTAACCTGGCATCTCTGCTTCCAGACCCTATGTTCCATGAATACCAAGATTTTCACAATCCTAAGTCCAGTTCTTCGTATTGCCACACCAGTCTGCATTTTTTTTTAAAAAAGGTCTATGAAAATCTGTCAGCATTTTAGTGTGAATTCCTCCTAAGATACCCATGTTTATATACAATAATGCCTAATATACACTTTCTGCAAAGCAGTCTTCCTAATATAGTGTACTGTATTTTTGTATGTTATTTTCACTAATGTATTAATTTCTATACAGTCAAAAGCTTGCTGAAATGAGCATCTTGTTGCTTTCCTTTTAAATGTGGGAAACCAGCTTCACATAACAAATATGCTTAAGTCTAATTAATGCAGAGTATGGTGTCCTGCCAGGCTTAGCTACAGCATTTCCCCTTATGTTGATGGGGGAATACATAATCAAGCCTATTGTACACCCCATGTTTACCTGAAAAGCTCTGCGTGTGAAGAAGTTTGAGCTGGTTGCACCAGCTTAGCCACATGGCTTTCACAAGCCATTCTTGTGTTCCTATACCAACAATTTAGGAACTTTTACCACTTTGTAACTAAGCCAAGTTTTACTGCTTGTGCAACTTTTACGACTGACGTATGGAAAAGCACATGAACCAGGCCTTTGAAGAGTTTGCAAGTAAACCATTTTTTTAACTTACCAAACCTGTGATCTTTTTCTATGCTAGGGGAAGTGGGAATCTTTGGAACTCACTTGGAAGGGAGGATTTTCAAGGTCTAACAGCCTATATTTGCAAGCTTTACATTGCTGCATATTTTAGTGACCTAAAATCTCTGCTAGAGTTCTCTCACCAAAGAGTACTTGCCCCCAAACTGGATCTTGGCATCCCAGAAATTGTTTGTGTGTGTGTTTGTGTGTGTGTTGCACCAACACTAGAAACTTTGCATTACTGGTCTTTGTCAGGATTTGACTAACTATCTGAAGTTGCAGTGTCATTAGAAAAGCCCTTGTTGGTGTCCCCACCCATCCCGGCCATCCAGTAAGAAATTCTGGGCCCAAGACTTATGGATAATCAGCACAATGAAATATTTGATGTGGAGCAACACAAGAGACAGCCATTGAACACTAAGGAGCCCTGGGAGAAAGAATGGGACATTAATTGGCAGCTGGTACATACAGATAATAACATACTAGAGTTGTGCATTCTGGCTACCCAAGGCAACTTTGCCAGCCACAATCCAAACTCAGAGTTCTCTCCTTGTAAATGCCATCTTTGGAATCTCCAGCACAAATCCAAATTGTGTTGACGATATAAATTGGTTTAGTCCAACTAATCTAGCCCAGTGGTATTGTGGAGAGCTTGTCGTCCTATTTTATCTGCCTGCATTTCTAGTCTGCATAGCTTTCTGATTATGTAACAAAATGGGACAGATGTTGAACGTCCACTTCTGGCATCCGCCCCATCATTGAAAAAGCATTGGGCCTTGTACACTGCAGCCTGAGTGAGTTTTCTTTGCACTTGACAAAACTCCAAAGCCATTTGTCTGTGGCCGGCAACTTGCACAGAAACACAGTTTTATTTATGGCTGCACTGAAAGTTCAAGCAGAGAGCTCAGCTCTGTGGCTGTGCATTTAAATCTTTGCAAATGAGAGTTCTTGAGTGTTCTTTCTTTCTTTTATCCCTTTGCGTGTTCGCTTTAATTTTTATTTCACTTAGAAGATTTTTAGGAGGCAAAAGGGATACGAGGGTGAAGGGAAAGCTCTTTTATTAACCTTATACTGTCACACATAGGAGGTTCTGTTCTAAAGAATCACAATTAAGTTACTGCTTCCTTCATGTAATGACCAAGGAATTGGCCTCTTTATGTGGAACACAATGGACGTGATGCATTCCACTGTGCAAATGGAGGTGAAATTTACTGCTGTACAGAGAATTTAAAATAAACTCCTTTGCTATTTAAGCTCCATTCAAAACCTTTACAAAATCTAGACGCATGCCTATATGTAATAATGGAGTTCACAATGCCTTTTGACATTCCATCACAATTTAGTGTGACCAACAAACCAAATGGATAGATTTAAGGGTCAAACCAGATGTGTGTTTAGAAATGATGACAGGTTTCTGAAAGTTAAATATGAGGCATGGGTGGGGAGTGATTGCCGTTGGCACCACAACATGCGGGGAGAGGTTTAAATCTTTGCTCTTCTGTCATGGTATTATTAAAAAATTTAAAACCCACAATGTGATTGCTAATCACATAATAATAATAATAATAATAATAATAATAATAATTTATTTATTTATACCCTGCCCACTCTGGGCGGCTCCCAATAGAATATTAAAAACACGATCAAACATTAAAAACCTCCCTTCAGATGTTTTCTTAAAGTCAGATAGTTGTTTATTTCCTTGACGTCTTATGGGAGGGCGTTCCACAGGGCAGGCGCCACTACCGAGAAGACCCTCTGCCTGGTTCCCTGTAACCTCACTTCTCACAGTGAGGGAACTGCCAGAAGGCCCTAGGCACTGGACCTCAGTGTCTGGGCTGAATGATGGGGGTGGAGACACTCCTTCAGGTATACTGGGCTGAGGCTGTTTATTATAACAGGTCATGAGACCCTAAGCAGATCAAAGAGTAGGGCTATCCATAAAGATGCAGGCCTGATTCTGAATTAGTGTGGTTTTTCAGGGCTAGTTCGGTCCTGCACCCATCTCTTGCTGTTGTCCCTGAGTCTCCACAAAAGCTGGCCCTCCAATTAGGCAACTGAGACACTAGTCTCAGACAGTGGATTGGCACCCCCAGTGTATCACAGGGTCCTTACTCAGAATGAGACTGATTACTCAGAGTGGCAAATACAGTTTAAACATCAGAAAGCATTTGCTG